CCTCAGAAGGCAAAGGAATAAAAACTGCGTACTTGCTAAAGCGGTCAACTATGACCATGACTTGGCTCTTGCCATGCCTGCTTTTGACTTGAGTGTCCATAAAATCTATTGACACTGAGTCTCCCGGCTGATCCGGAATGGGCAAGGGTCTGAGAAGACCTAACGGGGCACGCGTAGAAGACTTGTTTCGCTGGCAGACCTTACAACTGCGAACATACTCTACGCAGTCATTCTTCATCCCAGGCCAGATATACGCGCGCATCAGATTGGCTAAGGTCTTTTGCCAACCAAAATTACCCTCTGTGTCGTGGCATTCTCCCAAGATCAGACTACGGATCTTTTCGCTATTGGGGATGCACAACCGGTCAAAAACATTAGTCTTCTAAAAAAGTAACCCTTCAGCAGCGCGGTAGTTTGRCTCGGTCTCTRGGGCCTCCTTGACTTTCTTAAGGAGCTCACCATAGATAGGGTCCTGCGTGTAGGCTTCTCTAACCTCTTGCTGCAGGTCTTTCCCTATATCGAGGTAATGCACTATCGCCCCGAAGTAATCTGCCCTCCTACTCAGAGCATCCGCAACTACGTTGTACTTCCCCTTGACAGGCTTGAGCTCGAAGTCGTACTGATCTATCTCAGCGGCCCACCTAGTAAGCTTAGGTGTCATCTTGGCCTGCGTCTTTAACCGTCGTAACGTTTCATGGTCAGAATAGACTTTGAAGTGCCTCCCAAGCAAGTAGTGCTTCCAGTGGTCTAACGCTTGCCTGACAGCGTAAAGTTCCCTCTCATAGGTAGATGTCGCGACCTTCTCTGAAGGCATTCTGGCGGACATGAACTCTACGGGTCTATACCCATTGCCATCGTCTTGCTGTAACACTGCGCCTATGCCGTACTGGCTAGTATCCGTAGTAACGACAAAAGGCAAGGACGGATCGGCGACCTTAAGGACCGGGTACTCTATCAATGCCTGCTTTAGCTTCTTCATGGCAGACGTGCAGTCCTTGTCCCACTTCCAGATTGTCTCTTTTCTTAGCAATCTGCGAAGGGGCGCAGCGATGGTGGAGAAGTTCCTCACGAACTTCSTGTAGTAATTTGCTAAGCCCAGGAACGAGCGCAACTCTGTCAGCGTTCGTGGCGTGGGCCAATCTCTAATCGCTGCGATCTTGCTATCCTCTGGCTTAACGCCATCTCCGTCTAAGACGTGGCCTAAATACAAAACTTGGGTCTTCGCCCAATCGCACTTCTTTGCATTGATCTTGAAGTTAGCTTCCCTCAGCTTTTCCAAGACCTGCCTRAGATGACCCTGATGCTCGGCGAGGGTCTTACTAAACACTAGAATGTCATCTAGGTACACTATAACAAATCTATCTAACCACGGCCTGAACAAATCGTTCATACAGCGCTGGAATGTAGCTGGCGCATTGGTTAGTCCAAAGGGCATCACTATAAACTCGTAGTGCCTTCATGACGGCTTCTTGCTGATTCTGCGGGATGTACATACTAACCTCTTCYTCTTCTCCCACAGTCAGGTTGGCAACCCATTCAGAGATCCTCTTCTCCAGGTTTCCACCGGTATTACTACTGGGCTGCCCACTACTCCTTTGCAGTGGCGGTCCTTCCTCTTCTTCATCC